AAAGGGGTGATTTGGCTGAATTGCAGTTCACGTTTCTTGACAATACGGAAAGTGCCGTTCTAGCGACAATGCCAGGTGCCGGTTTACGCCCATTAGCAGCAACTGCTTCTTTTGCCCACAAGACCGATCAGCGTGCTTATTTTCCACTCCAGTACACCGCACTGTGCAACCATCTCCAAGCCAGCAAAATGGTCTGTTAATTAATCCAGTCGCCTCTTTAATGCAACGCCATCTGTTGCCGTATTTCGCTCCGACGTTCACTCAAGGCCGAAACTGCAGGCGAATCGATTAGTAGTCACGAGCTTGAGCCTTCATCTACCTTATCGGATAAGGCACCTATCGGTGCTGTGCCCTATACTACGGCAACAGAAACAAAGATAAACCTCGAAGAAGAATTAATTGTCCATTACTACCTTACTTCATGTCGAGGATGCGTTTTACATCCATATAACTTGAAAAAGAGGGTCATCTGACCTTGTGTTTTCAGTCGTCTCTATGTGACAAACAACGTGATAAATTCTTACGGTAATGCTTAGACTCTCCTTTTAGTATAGGTGACTACTTCCTTTTGGACATCTTTGTGGCTTAAAATGAGACTAATTTGCAACAGGACATCCGAATCTTAGTGTTTCCAGCTTTCGTCACGGGAACCTGTTCAGGCTAGTGATCCCCAGAGTATCCTTTGGACACTATGCAGTTTTTCGAACATTGCTTTGTACAAGATGTCCCATGAGGTTGTCATCTGACAGTGTTAGAACTCTATCTACTAGCCCTTCTAATAAATCAGTCTATGTAAAAGCACAATTAAGCTTCGCTCCGTGAACAAATCTTCAAAAGAAGACGAGTAAACGTTCTATATCCCCCTTTTCAAGAAAAAGTCCAAAGCTAAGCGGGAAGCACAACGCTATTTCTTTATCATTTCAAAGCTCCGTCTGCATCCATCGCCGAGGATAAAAACAGGTAGATGTAGACGAATGACGTAGGTAACATTTTTTGTTTCAGTTACTTCCTATAATTTGCTGCAAAACTGCTGGTTTTAAACATCACGTTATTACTGGGGCAGTAGTTAACTGTAGGAAGATAGCATCAGTTCGCCGTCTTTCGACATTATAATGGAAACGTAATTAAGCGCAACGGACCGATCAAAATGCCGTTGCATTAACTTGACACGTTGATTAGTGTGAGTTCTCTAGCCGTAGGGTTGCTTAGATATAGCCCTTCCTCATATTCCTGACCCTTTACTACCTCAATTGAAGTTGACCCTTCCATGGATATGTCTACACGAGTTATTCGTTACGTTCGGCTCTTCGCAAGTTCCTTCTAAGTTTACAAATCCGGACAACACAAACTGCAGTCGTTCGAAGAGCGGCTGGAGTTTTTACCACGAATCCTTCAGCTAAGAAGAACACCTGCTGGAGGAGGGCAATAGCGTTCAACTAAAAGCAAAAGATAGAGATGGGTATCATCATTTCTACACAGATGTAGGGGAACTTAAAATCGATATAATCACAATGGACAGAGAGGAATGTTTGAGATATGGGACGAGGAAACTCCTAACTTCCTATTTGTTCAATAACTTCATTGCGATTATAAACTTTTGAAGTATTTTCTTTAACAGTGTTTAATAAGTTACAGGTAGGCGTCACTTATTCAAATTAATCTGGGGTTAGCGACATAATTCGACTGAGTACTTAAGTCTAATTAAACTCTGCTTGAACTTTGTTAAAAGTTATTTACAATCGTCTTAAAAAATTGGTCCAGAAGGATAGGATTCAAAATTATTCTCTCCTTCCAAAGTATTGTTCCTTTACTTCGTCGATTTTAGAGTTACTGAACAGACGTCCCAAGGTTGCTAATTTAAACACTTGTGCCTTTTGTAAAAAACATATTCACTCCTATTGCATCATCATACAGACCATATATCTAAGCGGACCACAAACACGGATTCTTGGAATAAGTTGTCCGGACTACAAATAGCCCTGCAGCATCATGCTCTCATCATAGCTTTATTCATTTTCGAGGCATGAAAACACCGTTAATCTTCCAAATCCCCTTCTTCGGGTTTACGTTTTTGAACTCAGCCTACGTTAAAACGCCTTCGGGTGGATTATCTTCTCTACTAACGCTTTATTTATGATGGTTTGGGAAGACGATTAGCAGGAGGGCTTGATGTGTCATTATGGTCGTGACATTCACGGTCACTTCAATAAATTTTTGCAGCCTTTTCCAGATTCAGACATTTCTGTGCGCTTAGTGGTATTTGCTCACATGTAGTCTGCCTAAG